CACCATTAAAATATCCATCAAATAAATTAATTTAGCACTTTTTCATAAAAGCAGATTGTAGAACTTTATGTTGTTGTTTTTTTTGCAGTGAGATATAAGTATCATGAAACAATAAAAAAGAACAAACAATATTCAACTCCATCAAACTTACCACCACCACCACAACTCCTACACACTGACTCACGGTTTGGCACAAACTCCGAAGGTCTACAATTTTTTGGGTTCATCTGACAATGGCAGCTAAACTAAGAACATGTACCAACTAAAAATATATTTTTACAGTGTGTTCCAGTTACTTTACAGGCTCATTCTGTACTGTTGTGTTTGGTCTGTAAAGATGTGTGGACATGTTCTTTAGACAGTTTAATGTAGCATCACGATAAATGTAATACTCCTTCCATTCACTTCAAAAAGCTCAAAACTTTATTTTTTCTTATTGAAGAAAAACCTTTTGTTGTCTAAACTAATGTCTGGATTTTAAACAACTATACATACTAAACTTAGCCTGGCCTGCCAGACTTCCTCTGTGCAGAATCAGAGGAGGAGTATGGAAGGCTACACTATACTATACTTACAGGGACAAGAAAGTATGATCACATCACTCCTGTTCTGGATAATCTTCATTGGCTACCTGTTAAGTTCAGGATTGATTTTAAGATAATGATGCTGGGTTTTAAATGTCCTGACTCCCCCACATCTGTGCGACTTTACTCAGTCCTGTGTCCCATTTAGGACGCTGCGATCAGCTGACCTCTATCTGACCTCCATCTGCTAGCGACACGCAGATCACGGTTGAAAATTAAAGGTGCTAGAGCCTTCTCTGTGATGGCTCCTGTCCTGTGGAACAGCTTGCCCCTTTAGGTTAAGACAGCTGAAACCATGGCCCCTTTTAAAATACGAGGTTGCAGGCTTTTCTTACTCATTTTATCTTTTTATCTGTGATCTTTTATTGTTGTTTTATCATTTTATAATTTTTATGTATTTTGTCTTATCTGCCAGTGATTTTAGCCTAATGATTTTGTTGGCTCTTTTATTGTTGTTAAAGCTTTTACTTTTACTGCCTATGTGCAGCACTTTGGGGAAATGGATGTTGCCATTTAAATGTGCTTTATAAATACATTTTGACTTGACTTGAACTACTTGCATAAAGAACCTAAGCTTCCTCCCTTTCTAGTTGGTTCATGGGTCCACAGAAAAACGAAAATAAATAAATTAATGCAAGTCAACGGGGCTAAAAGAACTATTTTCTGATCCGCTTTGCCTTATGCTGTGAGTCGCACATATGTTGTACTTCAATTTGAAAGAAAATTAATGAAGTGTGTTTCAACCACACCAGACACATATTTTCACACAAAACCTAACATACCGTAAGCCTAACATCCTCCTGTTCAAAAGGGAGCTCTTGGCATCAAAATGGGTCTTTAAAATTCAGACATCATATGTGAAATCCATGGCACATAACGTGTGAAATTAGAAAGTAGTGTTTTCAGCCCCAATGACTTGCATTTATTTTTTGTACTTCCGGGGACCCAGGAAGGCTCCCTATAGAAATCACAACTTTTAACTCTTTCAAGTCTGAAAGAAAGAAAGAAAACAATCTTTTATACCGCCCCTCAAGATAAAAATCACAAGGCGCTTCACAAAATATAAAAAATTAATAAACAATATTTAAATATAAAAAATACTTTAAAACTATTAAAGATATGTTTAAAATGAGAGAAAAAATTGTGATAAAAATAATAATGTGAGGAAAGGGAAAGAGAAATTGAATAGGAAAGAGGGAAATCATTGGATCCTGAGGAAGGCGGAATAGGTGGGGAGAGCAGATAAGGAGAGGGTGGTGATGAAGGTCACTCAAAAGCCAGCCTGAACAGGTGAGTTTCAGCTGCTTTTTAAAGGAGACCACTGAGTCCACTGATCTCAGGCTCAGGGGGAGAGAGTTCCAGAGTCTGGGGGCCACAGCAGCAAATGATCTGTCACCTTTGGTCTTTAGCCTGGTGCGCTGCACAACCAGTAGGCTTTGATCACTGGACCTCAGGGACCTGCTGGGGGTGTAGGGACTAAGAAGATCACCAATGTAAGGTGGTGCTTGTCCATGTAAGGCCCTATAGACCAGAACCAGGAACTTGAAATAAACCCTGAAGTTGACTGGCCGCCAGTGAAGCTGGAGTAGAAGCGGGGTGATGTGGGTGTGTTTGGAGGACTTGGTCAGAAGCCGAGCACAGGCATTCTGAACCACCTGTAGACGGTTCAGGGAGGTTCTGCTCAGACACGTGAAAAGAGAGTTACAGTAGTCTAAGCGTGAGGAGATGAAGGTGTGGATAACTGTCTCAAGTTCAGAGCGAGACAGAATGGGACTCCGCTTTGCAATGTTCCTGGGATGGAAGAAGGAAGAGCGAACAAGAGAACTGACATGAGAATCCAGGGTGAGAGCTGGGTCAAAGGTCACACCAAGATTCCTGATGGAGGTTTTGGTGTGAGAAGCAAGCTGACCAAGAGAGTCTGATGTTTGGAACCAGCTTGTCTGCACCAAAATTAAACACAAAAACATGCTTTTTTTCCCTTTTTTTTTCTTTTCCTGTAAATTCAGAACACCTTGCAGCTTTTTTTAAGGTTCAGAACATACTTTCATAGGATATAGGAATGCAAAATGTACCCAAAACATTAACCATAATGATGAAGTGTCAAGGTTTACCAACATTTCTATTAAGTTCAAGGCTGCCTACCTCAGCAGAAGATTGTTGATGGCATTTAAAGGGAATTTCCAACACGTTTAGAATTGTTTTCAATGGTTAGAAATGTCCCTACGTGTCACCGGACCTTGCCGTTATTTCACTCTGTTTTTGAACAAAAAGGTCTTTTCAAACTTTCTATATTTACTTTCTCTATTTACTCTAGGGCAGGGGTGTCAAACTCAAACTCACACGGGGCCGAAATGAAACTCTGGGACGGAGTCGAGGGCCAAACTTAATATTTTTTGAAAAGTGACGGCAAATTTGCACATTTTCTTTATCAACATATATGCAATTTTGAACCTTTAAATTTGGAAACAAACATATTTCTGCATTAACACTGAATGTGGAATAACCAAATGACACACGAGCAAGTCAGTTTTAAATAAAAGGCATCAGTGGTATTCATTACTTGTGGTATAATCAGCATTTTTAAAATTTTTTAAATCTTTAAATCTTTTAAATCTTTTATCACGTGCCAACAACAAAATAAAAATATCATTTTATCTTAAATGAAAATGCAACATCTCACCTGTTAACTTTCATGTTTTGGAGCAGAAAAAGAGCATAAAACCAACATATTTAAAGCTCAGTTTGCTCCACTGGTTTACTGTGATGCTCACCTGTTCCAGCCAGATACCTGCATCATGGGGTTGATCTGAGCTGAGGAGGAGACTCCTGTTGTTTTGTTCATCTTCATCATAATAATGACAACATTAGATGACAACAGGTGCTCACATAGGTTTGTGCTGATGAACATGTCTGAGCAGCTTGACCACGTTGTTGTGTGTCGGGGAGGAAACACAACGACAGCAGCCACAGAGCCGTGCTGGTTTGAGCGTGTCACTGTTCTCTGGAGTTATATCAGCTCTGTCTGGACGTTAGTTGGAAAACTTTCTCTTTCAGTCGTGAACACATTACTGAGTGGCTAGAATCTCCGTTTCTGGGCTTCAACGTCAGAAAACAGCTGAGTGAACTCGGCGCTGAGTGAGAGGAGTGTAGTTTGTCCGAGACAGCGGAGCTGCAGACACCGGCAGCAGGCGCTGGAAAAAACACAAAGGAGGGGGCACGTCGGCTCCACGCTGACGCCGCTAAGCATCATGGGAGTTGAAGTCTTTGCGGTAAAATCGGCCAGCGGGCCAGTTTTAATATATTTTTGATATTTATCTCGCGGGCCACATAAAAATGCTCCACGGGCCTTTAGTCTGACATATGTGTTCTAGGGGTTAGAGGTTGGCCTACCTGGCCTGTTAGACTCGCCCTCTGTCTATTCTGCAGAGGGGACTAGTCTGGATACTCAAAGGCAGAGTACCATGAGGGGCGGGACTAGCCTCCTCAAAAATAATCAATCAGAAAAAAGGCGGAAGTGACGACTGTATATTGCGACGCTATAGTTTTTTTTTTTTTTTTGCTGTAGTCTAAGATGTCGTCTGGCAGCAGCACAAACATCTTTCTTTAGAAGGAGGCTTAACGTTTCTTCTTGTTGTGGTTTTAAAGACATGTCCAAGTCATTTAGAACACGGAAAAGAGCCGCAGCGGACGCCGCCTCTGATGCCATCTTTGTTGTTTATGAGAAACTGAGTGCCGTGGTGTGTGATGTACGCTGCTCAGCACTGATTGGCTTGGTTAGAATTCTCAGGGGTTGGGTTTAATTGAGTGGGAGAGTTTCCAGACCCTTTGCTTCCCATAAGAACGCATTAGCAGGATGGCTAGGCTAAGGTTGGCCTTCAGTGACATTTAGCTGTGACCAATTAGACAAAAAAAAGTAGATTGTGACATTCCAGGTGAGACAAAGTAGTGAAGTTAACGGGTTTTAACATAATTAAGGCACTTTGTGGCTAAACTGAAACACATGATTTGCATGAAATTCACATGAATATTGCAATGTATGCACTTTCTACATGTGGAAGATATTTGGCAGTACCAGTTCATCATGATTCCAGCTGAAAAATGTTTCCACCTTTTTGTCTTCAACTGTTTTTTCTCTTGAGACACTGGCCTTAAACTTCAGCAAACATAAACAAAAACTCATTGTTCTCACACACTTTTTGCCTGTTTTATAATTTTAAGCTTGTTTTTGTTTTTGTTTTTGTACTAGATTCTACAATCCAGTCTTAAAGCATTCACAGCTTACCTGTTAGTGCAACATTTACTGTGGAGATGTGATGCTACAGATATTTCCGCTTTGTGCACCTGTTAGCCTGTCAAATTCTAATCTTTTTCATATTAATTAACACACACGTGCCGTGTCTGGGTTTTTGGTGACAGGCGGTGTGTAAAGAGCGTGTTGATGCTGCAGCTCAGAGGTCAATCCCTCATTCTGACCAGGCCTCCACCCAGGGCTCACATCCCAGGCCAGAGGACAGGACTTTCTCTCGCAGCAGTGTCAGAAGACAGCAGGTAGGTCAATGCACTACTCACAATTATACCAAGGACAAGCACGTGGGTGAGCAGCATGGACGCCCGCATTTATCCATTAGTGATTTGCTACGATTAGATCAAAGCCATTGAGGAAGACTATAAAGAAAAACAGTCTGTTGAGAATCATGTGATTCATCAGAGCCTGCTTCTGCCAACCTTTATCCTGAACTTTCCAACACACGGATGCCCCTCCTACTGTGACCAGGCCGGCGTGTGCTGCTGGTTTCACGCATGCCTTGGGCTCAGACACCATCTAATTTACTGCTTCAGCGGCACATTATGAACAAGAAAGAAGCTTTTGATCTTCTCAGTATCCCTCTCATAAGTTTGGCAGGACAGGTTTCTAGATGGCCTCACTCAGTCTGAAGATGGCCTTAAGATATGGTGTTTGATTCATAATGATGTCCTCATTATATCTTTTAATGAAGCACCTCTGTACCTGTAGTTTATACACAGGTTGTAAGCACTCTGTCACACTATGTAAATACAGAATAAATACTATCATTGTGGGTTTATGTTCCATCCTTTCCTAGAAGTTCTGTTTTGTTTTGTCTTTTCTGCACCTGATACAACGGTTAGCCAACCTGTCAGATTATAATGCAATTTTTGCAATTTACATTTAGTAAACTTGTTAAAAAAAATAACAAAATTAACAGTGCTTTGGGGGGTTGTAGAACCCTACAAAGGTGCTATACAAAATACAAGCCATTTACTGTTTTGATCTTGGAAAAACACTATCCCGAAATCTTGATTTAAACAGTTTTTCCCACTTTTCTGACTTTTTTGTTTTACCAGTGACCAGTGGGTGTATAGACAGAATTTGCAATATTAAAGACAATAGATTAAAACATGAAATGAGGCAGACTGGTTTGCTTTCTATGGAGAGGGCTGTTTCATTCTTTGTGAAATGTAATTTAGCTAAAATCTGGAAAATGTTATCTATTTGCTGTTTAAATCATAAATCAACATATGTTACCTGACTTTTGTCAAATTTCACCACTAACTTGTCATTTAATTTTATTTTATTTAAGAAACTCTGTCCAAGTGGTTCACAACTGGGTTTGATAGCTCAGCGTAGAGTGAAGCCTCTGCAATTTTAACATTCTGACTTTTGGTTTTCTCACCCTTAGATCAACCAATTGTTGATCAGCTTTTGTTTTAAACTTTGGAAAATGTTTGTGTCTACTCTGATGTGCGTGCCTACGATGCATATTTTACTTGTATACTTGAACAAGTTCTTTAAAGGGACGTTTCGGACTTTTGAATTTTTATGCTCGCGATTGCCCCCTCAGGCCAAAAGCACAATGGCAGCTTCAATAGAAGGCTCGTGCACGAGGCGCGCATGCTGTACGTGCACACTCCTTAACGAAAATAACAGCTGAGACAGTCCTGTGTGTGTGTGTGTGTGTGTGTGTGTGTGTGTGTGTGTGTGTGTGTGTGTGTGTGTGTGTGTGTGTGTGTGTGTGTGTGTGTGTGTGTGTGTGTGTGTGTGTGTGTGTGTGTGTGTGGCCCACAGGACAGAAGAACACAGCAAATTAATAAAAATAATGTCCCTCTGTCTCTGCAGCTGCACTTTCTCATCGGCTGGCCAAACGTGCAGTGTGTGTGTGTGTGTGTGTGTGTGTGTGTGTGTGTGTGTGTGTGGCCCAGAGGATAGAGGACAGGAGAACACGCAGCTAATTAATTAAATAATTTGGTTCTGTACCTTTCTCTTCAGCACAGCTGACAAAGGTTTATGATGGGTCAGTCCTCCTGCATGCTCAGATCATTCCCTTCCCTTGCTTGAAAGATTGTTCCAAAATGAAAGTTGAACCCACATCTTTTCTATCCGTGAATTCAATGCCGTTCGGTGAGTCTCAAATAAAAATTTGGGTGTCTTACTATAAAAAAATATACCATTGATGTAAAAAAGAAACTCCAAATAACAAACTTTATTCATACCCGAAATTGAAACCAGGTCTCCTACATGAGGGTCAGACATCTTACAAGGTGAGCTAAAGCGCCAGTGACGTTCTTTGTATCTGTAACGTTTATATCCTTGATGACAGCTGAAACAATGTCAATCCAAAGAACGGTTCGGAGCGAAAATGGCTATTTTGTTGCTAATTTGCAGGAAATATCTAGAAGAAAGTAGCTAAGGGTCCTCAGAAATGTAGCTAGGTTCATCACTAGGCGTTAGGAACAGCGACAAAGTCGCTGAGTTGGCACTACCTCCCTCTCTGCTGCTAAAGCTACTGATAGCAAATGCTACGGGCTATGCCTGAGCGTGAACGCGCATGAAGCAGCCTGCTTGACCCGAGCATCTCTCTTTTTCTGAGATTTTACAGAAAAACAGGCAATCACAGTAAAAATGCCAGGGCTCATTCTACAGGACCAGGGCATTGCAGGAGAATGTATGAAGAAGACATTTATTATTTCTATGCATGTTTTGACTGTCAAACTTCCATAATGTCCCTTTAAGTGCTCAAGTCTCAAACACCCAAATGATGGGAATTAGACAGACCGTTCCTCTTCTCTTCCCTGATCCCTCACTAAATAAGATCTCTGCTCTAGCATGCATCTAAACTCAGACTAAGGCCTTTGTCCGTATTTCTGTCTTACTGTATCGCCTACCTACCTCTCCATATGCATCTCTCTCCTGTTTGCAGAGCCATTTCAGGGTTCTGTGCACTGGGCAGGTCATGACCAGCAACCAGCTGCTGAGCTGAGTTAGAGAGCCTGCACATCATTCCCCCCCCCCCCCCCCCCCCAGGCCTGCCTTGTGGGTCACCAACATTGTCACAACATAGCTCTTCTAACAAAAGGCATTTGTGTCTGCAGCAGGCAGACGTTCGGTTGAACCAGAAAGAACATCTTGCACCACGTCTCGGCCATTTGTCAGCATTGCTTGTCTTGTTCTTGCGAACCTGCAGAGATTGCCTGTCAGCTCATTATTAAGCTCAAAACATATTCAGTCAAATAGATTATTTTTACTAAAATCCCTTAAAAGTTGATTCCGTGTAAGAGAAACTTTCTAATTGGTCATCTCGTCTCTTTTAAGTTTAGATTTGGATTTCCCTTTTGGTGTTCATGTTTTCCCGCTTGTCCACACAGACCAAGCCAACTGGCCTGCCACTCGTCAGAAATATGCAGATCAATCTGCTAATTAGTTGCATAGAGTCATTAAGGCTGAGTTAGAGCACATGGTTGGTACCCAAGAAGGCAAGTTAGCAGACCCTGGCACACCAGGTCGCTGGAGTCAACTGTAGCCCCAGGGCACATTCCCAATCATATTTACACACGTGTGTGTTTTAAGAAGATGATTGTAGATATGTATTTAAATAACATACATTTTGAAGCTGGTATTATTAGACCATGAAGGGTTTTTGGGTCATTTTGCTATTTGTTACCTATGAATTATTTTTTTTATTTAAGTTGTAAACCCACAAAAAAAGAGATTTACAAAAAGCTGAGGAACTTCATTTAAATCCATTGCTTACCAATAATCTGTTTCATGGTACTAATATTCAGAAACACATTTTCATATGCTAAAGTTGTACATGATCTCCTTTTTGGCCTCCAGTGACTTGATGCAATGAGACCCAACAGCTCTAAATTTGTTTGGCTAGATTTCAAATCTACTCCTAACTTTCAGATGCTGTCCTGGTGACTCCAAAGCTCCAAAACATGTCTGTTATAGTATCTGACTGAGTGTTTTGATGAGAGCACCAGGGCCTGGTTCAGTAGCATTTACAACAGGTGGTACCAACTTTGAAAAGGGTTCAGATCTCCTGTTGTTTAACTTTGATAGACAACAAAGCTCCTGAACACTGATTAAAAAGCTCAAGTTCTGAAGGATAAGTGTTGCTCTCACTATTTTATCATTAACCTCCTTGCTCCGCGTTCACCTCCTCCTCTTCCTTTACTCCTCCTGCACTTCTTCCCAAGGACTGTTGGGCATTTAGTCGCATTGCATATTTTAGGCTGCCATCTGGTCAGCCCTGCCTGGCACCACATGGGGCCTTCTATCCTCTCATATTCATATTCCACCAGCATATTGTTCTCACTGCTTTTGTACACCATGGCCCCAGTGCTTCTTCTTTTCTTTATTTATTTCTACAGAAGAGGCTGGCTAGCTAACTGCGCACCCCCCACCCCCCCCCACCCTTAGCCCTCCCTTAATCGGCAGCTCTTCCAGTTGTCCTATCAAGTGTAACCTGGAGGCCCCTAGTAGAGCAATTAGAGCGGCCTCCCTGCCCACCTCTTGTAATGAAGCCCAGCACATTCTGGAATCTATAGCCCCTTTAGTCTCCCCTAATGGGACATCATTATTGTCAAAGAAACAATGTAAATGGAAATGAACATACTCATTAGCCAGTTGCAGGGAGAAACCTTTGCTGCTCTCAGCTTGCAACTCCTGCTTCCAAACACACACAGACACACACGAAAGCGAGCCTCCTCCCCTTCAGCTGCTGCCGACTGCTGCTCTGGCTTGTGTTATTCCTCTGGCAGCATGTTTGTTTGTATGTGCGTACCAAGCAAGAAAGTGTTCTTGTTTTGTTTTTGTTTTTGTTTTTCTCAAGGTGAGAAGGGAGTGCAATGAACATACAGTAGGTAATTCCATTATTGGCATTCACTTGGCGTTTCTACAGATGTTAATTGCTGCGTGGTTTTTGTGCCTGTCTTTTTAAGTGAAGTGAGCTCAAGTTTTCACCTGAGTGCTTCCTTTGCTTACCTGTCCCAGGGTGCACCTGTGCAGCGGTCCAGGTCTCTGTCCCCAGCCAGCAGTGTGAGGGCGGGAGGCGGGAGGAGAGCACCAGCAGAACAAAGAGTTCAGGACCTTGAAGAACTGCTGCAACTGAAGGTAACTGTTAGTTAATATAGATGTGTAGATCATGGTCTTTATAACCTTTATAACATTTATCTTAACCTACTTGAGTTTCTTATATATTGACTTTTTTTTTTGATATTATGACTTATCACAATTTAGATTTTCTGTTTTGATCTCTTGATGAAATGTCCTCACAAGTTTTCTGGTTAAAAAATTAAATACTTAAGGCACGATTTATTCATGCCTTTGTTTTAATCATAATCGGAATTCATGGTAATTTTACTGGAACTTCTAGGTAGAGCCCTGCACTGACGCCCTAGGCCCGGGGGTCAGCCTGGCCCGAGGGCCGGGCTTCGGGCTGACGACTGTGTACTTACCTCGGACACGGGCCGGGCCGGGCGCCTTTATTTTTAATCGAATTCATAAAAAAAACTGAAACACTTGAACGCAGCAGCACCTGCCTGCTTCTCACGCACCTTTAGCTCAGTTAAGGTCTGTGCGGTTTATAAACGTGCCGATATAAACAAATTCTAAAACTGCTGATTGAAACATGTGCCCCTGTTCTAATATGCCGTTTTATGTCCACTTTGATGTCAGAAACCATTCGTTTATTCTCATGAAAATGGCAGCATTCTGTTTTTCTGTGAATAAATCCGCTCTGCAGTTAAAAAATACAGCATTCATTGCTAGTTGTTTTCTAACGGAGAGCGCATTTTCAGAGCGGCAGATTAAATTTACAAACGCTATAATAATTGGGGGCGTTTATTTAATCTGCCGCTCGGAAAACACGCTTTTTTAGAGAAAAAAAAGCTGCATTGATGCTGTTTTTCTCTCATTTCTTTTTTTTTTTTTTTTTTTTTTTTTTTTTACTGCAGAACGCTTCTCACAGATAATTAGAATGCTGAGCTTTGTATCACGCTAAAACATTATGAAAGGTTAAAAATAAAGTCGGGCTCGGGTCGGGCCAGAGAATCCTGAAAACCTTTTCGGACCGGGTCGGGCTGGGGCTCCACCTCCTCGGGCCGGGCCGGACACGGGCTCAGATTTTAGGCCCGTGCAGGGCTCTACTTCTAGGCATGCGCGTGTCTTCACCTCACTGTGCAGTTAATTGCGCAATTTTCAGGAACCAACAGAGTACCTGAACAGAGGTAGGAACCCAAAAGGGCCAGGCGGTGCTGTAGAGTGGTTAACTCACGCTTATTGGTTGTGGCATCAGCAGACTAGTTCAACTGGTTTTAGTAAAATTAGAAGTTGCTCATGAAACAAAACAAAGCACAAGCAATTAAGCACCGTTCGTTCAGATTTGAAAAAGCTTTAACTAAACTCCCAAAGCTGAAGCATGACGACGTAATTCATGGTGCTGTGTTGTCTCACAGGGCGCCATAAAAAACTGCTTCTTCTGGTCATTGAACGCCACATTTTACCTTCTCCAAGTTGATTAAATTGCCATACTTGGACAGATTTAAACTTTTAATGTAACTTTGGACGCTTTTTGGTGCTGATCAGTGACATCATTCACTGCCAAAGCAGTCGCGATTTGCTGACGTCTGTGCAAAGTCCTGAAAGGGCTGAATTTGTGTGCAGACACAACAGCTGAGAAGACTGTGCCATGGTATCTCTTGGTCAGTTTCCCCCTCCCAGAAATCACTCTGAAGTTCCCACAATGGAAGCACGCCTAATGTTACTCTGCTAGATTTGTTTGATGCCATAGCCACTTTGCGTCATATAATTATGACACACTGCCAAATGCAAAAGACTGGCAATGTTTTTTTCGCACTTGAGAATATTTCTCACTGTTAGCAAAAATATGTCACGAACCACTGAACTATTTTTAACGAACCTCATAAACAGGAATGATAGAATAGACTTTACTAATCCCACAGTGGTGAAATTCAAGAAAAATAATAATACCAAAAGTTATTATTGTAACCGTCAACAATTAGAACAATGAATAAGAAAATGAAATTTGAGTTTGCAAAATAATGCAGCATAAAGGACACAGACATTCTAATGTACAGCCAGTATTGCACAAGTATTGAACACATACTGAATATTTCATTGATGTTGGCATGTAGAATGATAATGCCAGTACCAGTTTAACAGAGGAGTTACCCCAGCTGCACACTGAAAACAGAGCGGAACGGTTTTCTCGCAACAATCACAGCACTCCAGTGCACACCGCTCAGCAGCAAATCGGCTTCTCTGTCATGCTACTCGCTTGACACAAGATCACAAAATCCCTCGAGACTTCAAAGGTTACGGTTTATTAATGCCGTCCGTTCTTTTATTTTGAAAGTTGCTGGGGATTTTACACTGAAATCTTGTGGGATTTCCTGTCTAGTTCTATGTTAACTACGGCAATTGACGCTTCCCAGAAGTGGCTCATGGAAAAAAATAGAACCCGATCCTATCTTTTGCAGTGTGGCATGCCGCTTCTGGAATGTGTCTGAAAATTGACGTGTCGCAGCTGGTTTGCCACACTCCATAGATTGTAATGGATTCTATTTGAAGCAGTGACGTTCCGCTGCCTTTCTATGCCGCTGACGCTTCCAGTGTGTCGTAGGGGTTATACACTCTTACTGCAGTGGGAATGAATGACCTATGGTAGCGTTCTGTTTTACATCTTGGATGTCTCAGTCTGCCACTAAAGACCTGTCTATGACCTCTAGTCTAGTTCCTAAGAATGGTGCACCGGTGTTTTTCTTCCCTAGAGTACGACTCACGAGGCTACTAGAGACCGCTGCAAATGTGTTGATTAAACAAGTTCAACACCTTTAAGATTTGACTACAACGATTATAACTATCATTTCTCAACATAAAAAATTTGGTTCAATCAATTGCATGAAAAGCTGCACGTTATATATTCACCTTTAAGAGATTCGACTGCTAGCTCCGTGTCCTCCACAAACTTCTTTTATTGTATCTTTTATACATATTAGTTCTCAGACTGAGTGTGTAGGCAGTGTAGTAGCAGGAGATGGCCTCTTTGGGTTAAAGTATCCCCAGCAGTGTTTTTTTTTTTTGTTTTGTCCTCCTTAAACAAAACAGCTTTAATGGTCTTTTAACCTTCACATGGTTTGATATCCTTTTCAGCACTTTGGTCGGCTGCCATGCCGTTTTTTAAATGTGCTTTATAAATAAAGTTGGTATGGTATGGTATGGTATGGTATGGTATGGTATGGCTCTTCTTTCTTTACATTAACTCCAAGCAAAAATTGATTTAATTTTTCTACTTAACTTGTTCCCTTTACTGCCCAACATTTTGCTTTATATAATATTTCACTTGAGGATTTTCTTTTTACATTTTTATTTTTCCATTTCCATAAGCTTGTCCTTCCTTTTAATTGTTGTAGTTGACCAGTCAGTGAGTGATTAATCTAAGGTCAACTCCCTTTGAACACAATCTCCGAAACGCATTAGGCATCATTTCCCTGTCAGATGTGAAGCACCTGAATTACATCACCAACAGACACTTCAACACTTAATGCTCTACATAAATTCAGACAACATGCATGAATGTCTTGGTTAATGGTGCCATTTACTTGTCTACCAGTTGGAGGGCATTTAGTGAAGATATGCACAGAGCAAATGTAACCACTTTAACGAGGGCATTAGTTCAGAGTATGATTTAGAGGTTTTGGCCTTTGTTTCGCTCTGACAGTAAGCAATATGCTCTTCATCAGCTGCACATGAGGTCTTACCTTTAACTTAATAAAGTGCAGACCTTTGCTTTTGTCCGTTCATCTTTCCTTACATTCGTCCTTTCCTCTTCTCTTCTATAGAACCCGTTTCAAATAGCCATGGCAGTTAGCATTGATGTCTGACCATAACGGCTAACAAGAGATAAACAATTCTGTTCAAAGTGCCCTCCTTCCTTTCTTCTGTACACTTTAAAGTAACAAATAGCTGCTTCTGTGTAATTATTTTTCAGCTTGATCGTCCACAGATGTGTATTCTGGCTGAGTAAAGGGGTGTATTGATTGGTGGGCAAGGGTCTGATGACCAGAGCTCAGCTGCCCAAGGGGGAGCTCTATAAAGAGCCTGGGAAGCCATGATGTGGCTAATGCCCTGCCACTTGCTTACTCCCACTCCCCCCTGCTCCTCCATCAGACAGCCACAACTCTTGTGTGTCTTCCCTCAGCTCCTTGTTCCACCAGTTATTACTGCCCTGGTCTTTTCATTAGAGCTTTGTTTTTGAGGGGTCGGGGGCTGCCTGATCAGGACGAGGATGTCTTGCAGATGTCCTCTGTGAATGATCCACACGGGAAAATCCATACTTGTCACATCAACAGTGTGCATTGCATGTGTGTGAGTGCACGCACACACACACACACACACACACACACACACACACTTGTTGTGTATCCAACGCATGTTTGTGTGCTCTCTGGCTCTTTCTCTCTCGCTCGCTTTCTCTGTGTGTTCTCTTTGTCCTTGTTAATAATAACAGGGCTGAGGGCTTGCATTTCCCTCTCTGCAGGGTAGCCGTGTCATATCAGCAGTAAACAAGCTCCTTCCCTTCAGAAAGCGCTCGACAACTCTCGCTAACCCTGGCCACTCAAGCAGAAACCTGTCCTGAAATCTTCCGTTCACTTCTCCTTTTCCTTCTCTCTCACTCCTTTCTTTCTTTCCAATTTCTCTGTTTTCTGTCTTTCTCTTTAAATACTTTTATCAGCCGACTTTCCTCATTTCTGTACTCTTTTCACCTCTGTCATGTCGGCTGGAGGCCTTTTTTATTCCATTGCCCTCTCTGTTAAGGTCAATGTGATGGAGAGGAGGGGTAACGCTGACAAGAAAAATCTATATGTTGTCTTCTCCTACTTCTTCTTTAAAGCTGGAGCCCAAACTTGTTGTGTTTTAATAGCTGTCAACAACAGTGTCAGCAACAAACCCATGGATAGAATCCCCAAATGAAAACACTTGCTGGCCGTCAGCTGGTAACTCCAACGAGTTGGTTTCAAAAGTATTTGCATGTTCACTTCACTGATGCCATTTATTAAAGATGTCAACCAAGTGTGGAAGCACTTCTCTAGGACGGTGTTTGGGAATGATTTGAATTACATGATGTGACCTTTTCAGCTAAGATGAGGAGCTGTTTCTATCGATTTCTCCTGAAAAGACGTTCCCTTGTTTATATAGTTTCTCATATTTCCTGCTCTATTGTGGTGTTAAAATAGTTAAATCTGTCTTACCTGTGCTTCATTTTGCGTAAACTGTTTTTAATAACAAAAAGCTTTTATTTTCTATTCCTCACAGATTGAGGAGAATCAGGAGCTGAGGAAAGCTCATAACAAACGCCACGAACGTCTCGTGTTGATTCAAAGCAACTATAAGACAGTCCGAGATCAACTGAAAGAGATGGAGAAGTCCAGTGGCTTGTGAGTATTTAGCTTTTGGTAGGATTTGTACATTTGCACGCCTCCCTGGTCTCTGACTAATGGTGACAGGTAGTGTGAAGGAGTTTCTCAAGGCATTTGCAAAGTTTCAAAATTTGAGAATTTTACTGTTTTGTTCCTGGACTTGTTCACAAAAATTGTGCTACACATTTCTTCTAAAAATAGTGATTGTGGATGTTAGAATCCTGACTTAAACTTTGTCAAGTATGTTTCCATGAGTCAGGAAGTGCAAATAAATTTCCAATAACTTTAAAATGCTTTGATGACCAATTAGCAGATAAACTATTGGCACATCACAAAAAATAGACATTTAATTATTTAAACTTTTGGTCAAATTGCATTGAGACAATTTGACAGACAGTCCCAATTCATTTGTAATTACTTCACATACACAACATGACCCAGCCATGTTTAAAGTTTGTTGTAAAAAGTGATATATGTACCAAAACTAACTAAGCACTAAACTAGAGTTGTAAGAAAATCCTGAAACACTGAGATATATTTTATGTTGTGATACAGAATCAATATTTATAAGCAGTGTATCATTTTTTTAATTAAATATTTACACTCAAACATCTACTGTTTTTCTTTTTTGTGGTGTAGTTCGAACTCTGCTGGTTAGAAACTGTTTTTACTGCTTTCATACAATTGTGTATTGTGCTTTCACTGGTTGTGTCTTGGAAGGGTCTCACCTGAGTTTTCCAATTAATATCAGTCTTAAAAATTGTAAAAATCATCTGGATTTTAGTATCACGATATATGGTCTCCCCTGTACTGTGATATATATTGATTGTATGGCAAGATTCATGCCAATACACCCTTACACTAAAATTTTGCTCATTTACTTGCAATTTTGTGTCACCAATTTTCACTAGTGGTAAAAGTACTGTCAAACAACACTAAAATGCATGTCGTCTTGTGTACACAAAGATACATCAACAAAATCTGAATTTGATGCACATTTAAGTGGAATAAGATGACTTCTTGTACCACTATTATTAAGAAGCCTTTTCAAACACATAACTCACCTTTACCGATCTTCTTCCGGCTTTTGGAGAGTACAGACGCGTTTTTCCTCCTCTCTTCCCTATCTTATCCCCAAGGCTCTTTGTCTGTCTTTGGGTGTACGGCGCTTCTGCATTTTTTCTGGAAACTGGAAATTATTAAAAATGGATCTGGTCAGTTTGTCTCTCAATGCAATTGACAAAATTTTTTCAACGATGAGAACGGGAGAAGGGGTTCCTGGATGCCCCTCTGGGACAGAGCCAGCTGGGTATATCATGGACTCCTGTAAACAGTGGAACCTGATCTACCTCTCTCAACTGTCTGTAGAGGATTCTGAAGACGTCTGGATATTCGTGGTGTTGGTGTTAGGTTTCTTGCTTTTTGGCCTGAGTGGTTACCTGGCTTACCGGAAAGTTAATGAGCTGTCGAGGAATATTGGCTCAATCCCAGAGCTCAGGGACGGATTACACCGCGCTGTGAACGCACAAACTCATATAATTGTCGAGATGAGTTGTAAACTTGGAACTGTGGCTGAGATTCAGACTCTGGCACAGAAGGTGGATTCGATCAAGGAGAAAGTTGACGTATCAGCACGGATTGTGATAGATTAATTACGCCATTATTGGATATTGGATATTTAGAGGGGTTGAGGACCAACGAAACTTTAAGGCAGAGAGGAAATTATCTCTGTCTGGTCCCAAAACAAGTTCTTATCTGAATCTGGTGCACTTGGGCCTGTGAGGCTGAAGTGATTACTCCCCCTCAGAAGAAATGTGGAATGCTGCCTTCGCCATGGCATCTCTGTCTCCCTATCCCAGCCTGGGCGGGACTGCGACCGGTGAAGGCCGTTGAATCGTTTCCAGGAGTCACTGTGCTTTCTAAACCCAACTACCTCCCTCCCCCGTCCAAACGGAGGTGACAAGCGCTGCTTTTGCGGCTGCATGCACTGATGTGTCCCCAACCCTACTTATGTTGTGTAATGTCTAAAGTCTGTTGCATTTCTGTCTGAGGTGTTTTTTGCATAGCAAAGCTGCCCTCCCTGTGGAGGGTAACTCTGAAGTGCCTTTTTTTCCCTCCACCTGACTCAATCCTCACATATAAACACTCTGATCTCTACTAAGGTAGCGCGACTCGGGTTGCGAATGACCACAGTCACCAATTCTTGTCATGTGTCTATGCCTGTGTATGTATGTCTGATCTCAGAATAGTGTGTACTGAAACTCTAATTTCCCTCTGGGAGTAATAAAGTATCTTTGAATTGAATTGAATTGAACCTATGTTAAAAACCTATATGAAACACAAATACTCTCTGAAACCTCTCACTAGTGATCTCGGGGCTCCAATCCTCTCCACATGTTGTCTGACAAGACCCGAGTGCTGGATTTGGGAATGCAGGAAAATTTTCTCCCTCTGCCTTTGAAAAGCTCAGAGGTTCTAAGCCCAGTCAATTTGTGCCGTTTTGTGCCAAGTGTATGTGTGCTTCTGCGTCTCTCCTCCCTCAGCGTTCATTAAGATGTGAGAGCCAGAGGCTGGAGGTGTCTGGTCCTGAGGGTGCACGGTGTTTGAGAAGGCCTGTGGAGGGTGGAGAGTGTTGGGGAGGGGAGAGAATAGGGCCGTTTCCTGCTCGCAACCTGTTATCCTCACCAGAAACCACAGCATCTTACCTTAAATATGACTATATGTATATAAAACTCACATTTGGATCCTTAATTTTATCTGCCAATGTCTATTCTTTTGTCGTCAACCCGTCACCACTGAAGCCATTTAGAGTGTAGGTAAAAGTGCATATATTTGATGGCCATGCGGGAGTAAAGCGTTAACTTCATCAGCTGTTTTCTCTCTGGGTTAATTAAAGAAAACAGCGGTGCAACGTGAGCCCGTGTGAAAGTGGAATGAGGGAGAAAGCATATTCAGCCCTGGGCTTGACTCGGCTCATGTCAGCTCAGCGCAGCTCAGCAGCATATGTGTCTGAGACGGTGAGAGCAAAGACAGAGATGTCAACAGAACCTGAACGCCACAAAACACCGCTGTGACACATTTCACCACATCATCAGTGACATTTTCTGCCAGCTAAAACAGTGCGTGTGTACAATAATGTTGATTATGTGAGAAGAACACATTATTACTGAGTAGCATGAGACATATAAGGTCTTTACTTTAATGTTTAGAAGACCTTAGGCAAGCGGTTGTGTATTTTATAAACAATTTGATGTGCTTGGGAGCTTTTGTCAGTCAGAGCCTTTTTTGACATCAGCGGTTCACCAAATGTTCTGATGTTGGCATTCATTTGGCATTAGACCACATCTTTAAACAGCCATTAAACCCACTGGCTGGCCTGAATGAGAGACAATAGACGATGATTTAAAAACTCCCATTAGTGTGAGAAAATCAGGGCCCTAACAAGTCAGTTGGGATAAGACTTGTCTCATTGCATTTTGAGCTTGTTAGGGATCTCATTGTAGCTTCCCTGCTGTGTTGTTGCCTTTTTGAAAGGAGATTAGTTTTCGTTCCTACTTTTGTGTGAAAGAGCAAAAGATAATGGTTCATTTTTCCATCCATGTATGTATTGTTTGCTCAGCTTGTCCTTACGCCTCACAAGGAATCTAAAGTGTCACCAAAATCAGAATTTTTTCATGGCAATCTGTATCAGCTGCATAGACAGATACAATCCTGTGTCCCAGTAGGACAAGCGAATCTGCAGAACGAGCTAGCTTTTGAATGCAAAGACGGTCATGGAACACTCACCTCTCCCCTCGGGTATCTTCCTTGAGATGCTTCTGCTGGAACCAGACACCGCATTGCCAGAGGAAAAAAGATTTCAAGTGGTGTTTTTATTTTTTTGGGACTCTGGTAGTTTGTCCTGAAGATGAAGTGGTAGCAGCCAGCTGTTTCTCTTTCCCTGATATCATTGATCTGCGAACTTCTCACACTGTTGCTAAGTACATGATGAACGGAGGACTCAGGGAAGTGCAGAAGTGTGGTGGTTTGGCGAGACCAACAACCAGATAGTCCAATTGTTACTTTCGGTCCGAACCATGTAATTGGCAGAGGTTTTATTTTTTGGGAAGCTATCTTCAGTGGGTAAGATAATAATTTTGTGTAACTTACACAGAACAATGCTTCAAAATAGCCTGAACACCCATTTAACCCTCCCACTGTCTTTATGGGTGACCCCATGAGGAAAGTTGACCATTGAGCAGGATTGATGCTTTATCCCTTGAGGTCCATGTGGCAGGGGTGAGGTGGTGCTCACTCCTCACTCCTGCCACGTGGACCCAAGGGATAAACCATCAACCCTGCTCAATGGTCAACTTTCCTCGCGGGGTCACACCCATTAGGGCAGTGGGAGGGTTAAATAATTTATTATACATTGCTGGTTTTATTGATCTCATTTACATTTTTTTGGTCAGCAACTTAAAGACTATTGGTTGCAGCAGGCCTAGCATGATGTCATCATCTTGTGTAATAATAATCAGTACCACCCAGGATACAAATACCAACCAATCACAACACAGACTAAAAGTCAGTTTGCTAGTCAGTATGCAGGCAGTGTGTGGTTGGTCAGTCTCATTGAAACCACGCTGCCATTCAACATTAGTGCATCACCATATTTTTGTAAAATGGTGTGAAAGAGATAGGAAAAAAGCCAACTACTTATTTATATTGGAGAGGGGAAAAGTTTTTTTTTAATCAGACTAGGGACGATGGGGGTGAGCAAATAAAATTAAAGGTTATTAAAGCATCCGTACACTGATCAAAGTTGCGCCCATAAACAGATTCCCCCTGATTCAAAGCAATTAGCTGCAGCAGCGTGGAAAAGTTCTTTCTATCTCCTCCTGCTTAATAATGGAAACTAGGATACCATAGGGGGATGTGCACTGGGGCCAGAAGGAGATAGCTCCCTCCTGGTTCCATGTTCAACAGCTTTTAAACCCACTGTAAACAAATTAAAATGTATCCAGTTTTGCCCTGACTTTGGATGGCTTCATGCACATTTCTTAACAGATGCATTGGATATTCTACTAAAAGTCACATTGAGAGAATTAAAACAGAGTTGTAAAAGGCAGTCATTTACTTTCATGCTTGTATGTGCTCAAAGCGGACTATCTGTTTCATCTCGTCATAAAGACTGCATAGACTTTTCATCAGATAGCCCTTGGGACACACAATATACAGTCACGTGCACGTGTTACTGAGTCGGCTTTGCTCTCAGTGGCAGTTGCAGTATTAAATGAAAACATTTGCTGATACACTGAAGCCTCCACGTCCCAGAGACCAGGGACTATAGTGTTAGCATGACCACATAGCCAATATTGACCACAAGAGAAGAACTCTGTGATGGCAGTGACCATCTGGTTTCACACTTCAATCACACTGATGAGCGATTTGCACTTTTCTCACAAAAAAATTACATTTGTGTGCAAGTCGAGGGCTAACAGGAATTAAATATGTTTCATTTTAGGCTGTGTGAGAAGGTGATTGTGTGCATGGATGTTGGGTGTGTGTATATGTGTGTGTGTGTATAGTGGAGGGGTGTCAGCAGAGGAGGCTGCTACGAAGCACAAAGTGCCATTAAGTATTCATAAGTGAGGTGTAGACATTTGAACGACCTCGTTTGTGAGTGTGTTTTTGCCACTGTTTACATTTGCATGGCACACAGGGAATGCTCCACTGCCCTGCCACACGGGCAGTGCCCTGAGCTTTAAGCAAACATGCATAAGTGTGTGATTCGCCACAGAAATGTCAAAGTCAAGGCTGCTCATTTGAATACTGCTAAATATGGCTGAATAACAAAACCAGAGTGAGACTAAGGGGCCCCGTTACCCCCATGCGAGTTGCCAAAGGCAGCTAGGTGTTCCAGCATTTTTCCCTTGTTATGCGTTTGTGTTCCATGTTTATGTGGAGCCGTTGGTTCAGTTTTTATGCTTGCATTTGCTCGCCTCTACATTTAAACTTTTCTGGTCATACAGAATACGTTGTTTCATTCCTTGTGTGTGTGTGTGTGTGTGTGTGTGTGTGTGTGTGTGTGTGTGTGTGTGTGTGTGTGTGTGCGTGTGCGTGTGTGCGTGTGTGCGTGTGTGTGTCTGTCCAGGTCGGGTGCAAGGAAACAGCGTGCACAGTCATGGCAGCTACGACAGGAAGACAGTGATGCTGTGTGGAATGAGCTGGCCTACTTGAAAAGCCTGACCAGGAAACTTTCCACTGAAAAGTAAGCAACCTGCATTTAAAATCACCTCCATGAAACATAGATAGCAGTTCTGGATAATGTCGTGCATGTACACACATTTGTTTTTAAAAATGAGGGTTTTTTTCACTCTCTCTCAGATACACACTTGCAATGTACCTTTTTGTGGGTGTTAAATTTTGAGTTTGCCCTTCCTAGCTTCACATCATCCATCTAGTCTGCTACATCATTACCAGCCAGCAGGGGCAAAGGCAAGATCATTAGACTCTACTCATTTGTAAAACTGGCTGTCTGAAATTCATACAGAAACTTGCAGGATGTAAGTCTCTTTGTGAAGAAAGCACAAAAGTTACACTGACAAGTACTGAATATGCCAAACTATGGTCTTCTGTACTGTTTTAATGACATTACCTTAACCAAGAGTGGAAGCACTTGTAGGAAGGAAACGGTACGAAGGCATGATTATTGTTAGAAAGGGAATCACAGCTGCTCGCTCTTTAACCACATCACTTCATCAGGTTTGCCGTTTCTTTCTTATCACAATGACTTTCTCTCCTCACATTGTACAGAGAGAGACCACATTTAAAAAAAGTTCAACACATTGGTGCAATTTCATAGAAATATAATATTCCCTCTGGGGGAGGGGGTTAATCTCCAGTGCACTTTACAGCTGTCTTTACCTCTGGGGTGCTGTGTCTGTAGTTTACTCACAGCTTTTAGTAACATAACAAAATTAAGTTTTATTAGTAAATTAATTAAAAAAGGGTGATGCTAAATGTGGGACTTTTTTTTAAACCGTGGTTACAATTTCATCACTATGCTCTTGCATGCTAAATGATTTGTGATTGGATCAGTAAAACTGGAGCTCCATTATATAGTTGGAAAACAAAGCCAGATAGAACTGGATTGTAGATACAGAGCAGAACACCTGCAGCCTCAACAGTTACTCTCACAAACCTTTTCTCTGTCAAGATGCAGGATGTTCACCGAGCCCTGTGCAGGTGTTTGCAAGAGCACCTCCTGTTAATGACACATGTCAAGCAAACACAGCGACATGCCTGCAGACATAAACTTGCCAGTTTACTTTGTTGCAAACATATTTTGAAATATATTTTATTTTGTCTTCCTTCTGTGTAAACTCCTTATCTTTTATTTCTTTTAAAGATGTAAACATTGTTTTGCTTGTTCTAGAGAAAAAATCCCTAACTGCACCTAAAACAGTGACCCTATGTGATACTGCATAAAGCTTGGCCTAAAGCCACAGTCGGTTTCTCTCCACCTCTTCCCCCCACCTTCACCTCTCCTCACCTCTCTCCTTCTCTATCCTGTCTCCTGTACGCTACTCTTCCCCTCTTTCTACTTGTCTTCCCAGTTGCCTCCCTCCGGCCCTCTGTGATTCTGCAGTAGGTTGAGGCCAGAATTCTGGTACTTGCCCCCCTCTTCTACTTTCCCCTCTGCTCACCCCCACTGCCCTGTCCTCCTAATCCCAGCTGAGCTCATTATGATATAGCCCGGCTGCCTCTCTCCGAGCCTGAGCTGTCCGAGCTAATTACAGACTAGCAGCCCTAGTGCCGCCGATGCTGCCTGTTATGGGATGTCCATCCGCCAGCCTGCCTGGCCACGACTAGAACTGAACAGAGCCTCAATGGTTTTAGGGCAGGGTGAACAGTGAGCATGCAGGGTCCTTGGACCTGACCTGCAAGGAAAAGCACAAGGGACCTAGAGCGGCTGGCTTTTTTCCTAGCGGTGAATCTGCACCGTCCGTTGGGGTTAGTGTTGATCCCCTCTTTGTGCCCCTGACCAGCTCCACCTCATTTCCTCCACTGCTGACCCAAGGACCTCTTCTTACCCGGGTGGCTGGTGCAAAGTAAACTTGTCTGAGCTCTTTAAACTTGTGTTTCCAAAAATATGTCCACCCAGGACTTTTTACATACTGTACATACACCCAATGTTGTCAAAGTCATTTTTTCTATGTGCTACTCTGCATTTTCTACCTGTTGGGAGAATTATGCTGGAGGGATTGTGGGGTTTGATCAAAGCTTTCTTATCCACACTGACTTAACCTACAAAACACAACCGTCATTTTTCTAAAACGTCATCCGAGCTTGAAAAAGCTGGAGTTTCCTTTAAGACAAAGTAGATTACAGGAATCTCATGAGGCAGGCACTTAAAGCTTGTTTTCCATTGACCGGACTGTTATAATTGTGCTTTTGAAGGTTATGCTAGATACGTATTAGCAATGATCCACTAATGACTAATTAACATGTAGCAGCTGAAAAATTTAGAGCTCTAAATTCCAAGTGGCAGGCGATTCCCTCTTTAAAAGCTCATTTTCTCTCCTCCCTGTCATATCTTTTGCAGATGTTTACAGCACCTGTAAAACAGCGTTTTGATGCCCGGATGACCATTTCCCACAATGAATATTGCCGTGGTGACTCCTGCACTGTGGGTCCCCACGATGTTAAGAGACTGTTTTCAAACCTAAACACCCTTCAACCTCCTTGTCTCCAAACCTTTAAAATAGATTAAGGAGGGAAATGTATCTGATCAGATTTTTTAGATGACATACAGACACTGTGTGGTTGAGTGCTTTATAATCATTATGCTCTCTCAGTTTAATGACACAATAGTCGTGTTTCAACTAAAGGAGTTCTGAGAAAATTTTGGGTGAGGAGAAATGGAGAGATAAGATGGCTCAATAAAGCCTGATGTATTCTTCTCCGTGAGCTCCGCAACAGAGAGACGCACACAAAAGGTTTTCACATGTGAACTTCGGCGCAGGCAGCAGAATTTGCTAGGACAACAGAGGGCGTAGCACTTTTTTGTGGTGTCCTTGAGCACTGCTTATTTTCTTTTCCCTCCATTCTTCTTCACGAGCAACTCTTCCGATTTCACAAATGTCTATTGTTTTGGTGACATTTGACGATTAATTTTCTACTGAGTTACAACTAATCAGCGCAAATCAACCAAAAGTTCACTTAGCAAAGCCACTGGGCCATTCTGAGCATCCACCCCTGTTCAGGTACTCGATTGTGGAAACACCAAATGGTATTCATCTATCTTTGGATCCAAAACTTCACCAAGAGGCATGAAATGGTATTTCACTTTTTTTCTTTTAGCTAAAGAACATCTTGTCAAAATTATACTTTTCTTTGGGACAGCAGTTTACTTGCCAACAGCTAAGTAAGACATTCAAAGATTTGTTGTTCATTTAATGACTGAAAAAAGAAACATAATCAGACATGGACATACCGTTAGAAGATGACGAGACCCAAGAAAACACAAATAAAGTCAGGAAAAGAAGGCACTTAAACAGATAAGCAAGATATAAGACTAAACACTGAAAGGGCTCAGAGTTAAAAATAAAAAATTAAATAAACAGCTGGCTGAATTCATTTGAATACAGCGTTGTTGCTAATAGGCTTGTAGAAAACCAATCAGCTTGATTGTTGTTTTTGCAGTTGTTTGCTTTGCTTCATTGGTAAATGTATTCACATCTGAGTTAATAATAATTTAAACGATTACACTAAAAATATTACCAATTTATATTTATTTTTATAGACAGCTGCAGGTTGTTTAAGCAATAGAAAACACCCCAGAGGTTACAACACAAGGGAATTTTTCAAGAGGTATTGCTTATGATAAATACAATTAACTTTGAGTATCAATGCATCGACTTCATCATTTTTTCATAACTAAGTGGAAGATCGTAGTAATGAGAGTTGAGTAGAGTAAAAGTGTTTCTCCAACATAAAATAACATACCAACCAAGAATGTTGCGGTAACCATGCCAGACGTGGTTGTAGCTCTGTCACACTGTCATGGAAGTACAGCAGAAGCAGGAAGAAAGGTGTGAAGCATGTCCTTCTGGTAGGAACTGTTAACACATGGGTCACAGCCTAGGTGGAGCTTTTGAATCACCAAGTTTTAAAGTTTTGTTGTAGCTGTCTTCAAAAGAAATGCTTGGGTGGTATTAAAAGCTTTTTTATTTTTTTTACTCTAGAGCCTGTTTTCATAATAGATTGACAACACCACATCTGTGTTGGAAGACTGAAACGTGAATTCACTAAACACCATTTGTAGACGACGCTTGAGAAACACATCATTTTAGGGTTCACACGTTCATAAAGGCTGTTTTAATACTAATCTAACGCTATCTTGAGAAGCTTTAATCACGAATACTCGAGTCTACCTCAGCTTACGGAGGACTTCAGTGTTTCTGTGGCTAACTCGGGAAGACATTTCTTTTAAAACCACACATGCTAGCTCCCTCATGTTCTGAATTTTCTTTGCAGTTGGGAGTCACTTGTGTTTTTACCTTTTCATTCTGCCGACAGTCTAATTGGACTCACTCCTTTAGACTTTAACCATGACTGAAACAACTGGCAAAACTAGACACTCTAGACTTTTGAAACTCTGTAGGATCTCTTAGTCTTCTCTGGGCTTTAGGCAAAAGCCACAAATAAACTAACTGACACCGAGACTGATTTTCCTTGGGTTGTGGTACATTGCTGGGCAGGGTAGGGTAGGAAAGTTGCAGTGTGATCGTTTTATCTGCCTCATTATGCATCTGTCTGCGGCATTCTTGGTCCGGCCTTGTTAATTGTTGTTAAAGGTCTTTTGGTAAAAAGAGGCAGGAATTATTTAGGCTCCATAAACAGAATAAACACCCTCAGACTAGAGATTGCACACTCGGACGACATCAAAGCATAAATTAGATAACCATTACTGGGGAAAAAGCCTCTGAGATCATTTGCACTGCTCCTCTGTAGAGAGTGACCATTATGGATGTGAACCTCCCCAATAAGTGACGCTGACTCTAAATAAAGTTTGCCCTAATGTTCCCCATATTCCACCGTTTCTTTTCCTTTCATCTTTATTTGCTAAATGGTATTAGAAGTAATGAGAGTCTTTTGCCCTTTGGACCAGGGCTTAGTTGGAGGAGGGGCACACATGCAAGCAAACACAAACAGAATGATTTATGCATGTTTATAAATGAGACAAAAAGGGAGTTTTCCCTCATT